TTTCGTTTAGAGGATGTAGCACAACAATGGATTACATCGTACATGTGGGGTATATCTAGTGATATCGGGCCGCTTGGGTAGAAGGAGTTTGATAAAGCCTTTATGGATAGATTTATGTCTCGTAGTGTACGAGCAGTTAACGCTAGGGAGTTTGAGGCTTTGAGACAGACATCCGAGATGACAGTATCTGAATACGATGTGCAGTTTATGTAATTTTTTAGATACGCCCCATACCTCGTGTCTTCGAAAGAAATGAGGGTGAATCGATTTGTGGCTAGACTGTCTGAGCACTTGTTTAGAGCTATTGCACCGTAAAGGTTTGATTGGTACTCCGATACAGTAAATTATGCTCGACTAATTGAAGGTCATAATATGGAGGCTAGGGCACTTCGCGAAAGTACTGGAAGAATTAAAGCTGAATGACAAACTAGTTAAAGGAACACTAGTCGAGAAATGACTTTTAGGAGGTGAAGTAGACCTGGTCGAAGGGATATTGTTCAAAATAGAGGGCAAGCATCAACTGGATCTCAAGGGTTGAGGAGGAATCCCCAATTTAGTAGTTCATCGCATCGTGGGAATTTTCCTGGAGCAAGTAATCGCCAAGGAACTAGTAATGAAATAACTATCTTTAACAATTAGTAGATAGGCCAGAGGAATCTTTATTACGCATGTTGTTGTACTGTGCATGTGGGGCCATGTGCTCAATCATAAGATGTGCGCTTTAATTATGGTCAACTGGGACATATGCGAAGAGATTACCCTTATGAAGGAAGATCGCAAGGAACAGGTTGTGGGTATGTGCAACCAGCTTCAGTGGTAGCATTTGCAGTTTCACCTCCAGTAAGGAGAAACCGACTCGATAAAGGTAAAGGGATAGCTTCTACTTTTCGATCCCTACCTACTAAGTCAGTGTCACAGGGTACTTCCGGAGAGGGACAAGTGAGAGTCTTTGCCCTAGGCTAGTAAGATATGCCTGCCTCTAATGATGTGGTGACACGTATTCTTTTAATGTGAGGTTTTGAAGCATCAGTCTTATTTGATCCTAGAGCTACCCATTCTTTTGTTTCCTCAAATTTTGTGTCAAGATTGAATAGACCTTGTGAAATAATGGAAGAACCATTGGTAGTGACTACCCCTTTGAAAGAAATATATATGGCAGAGTTTGTTTATAAGTCTTACATAGTTCAAGTCAATTATCGGGAAAGCTTGGTGGATTTGGTGTTATTAATGACATTGGGGTTTGATGCTATATTAGGAATGGATTGGTTGTAAGATTGTTATGCCAAAGTTGATTGTCATTATAAATATGTAGAATTTAAGTTTTCTGGAGAAGTCCCTTTTATTATTTATTGACATAAGAGTCCGTGCAATAAAAAGATATTGGCAAAGGTCACTAGAATGGAAACCGGACTAAATTATTTGACGTGCACAGTAGCCACGGAAGATGTGTCGATGGGGGAAAAGTTTGTCGATATTAAAATGGTGTCAATAATTAATGAATGCGAAGATGTGTTCCCAGATGAAGTGCTAGAGTTACCCTCAGAAAGAGAGGATAAATTTTGCATTAATTTGACTCCTAGCACGGAACCAATATCTGAAGTTCCTTATCGAATGGCACTAGCAGAAATGCGAGTATTGCGAGAGCAATTGCAAGAGTTGAGGGAAAAGCGATTTATTTGTCCAAGTACTTCCCCTTGGGGAGCTCCGGTATTATTTGTAAAGAAAAAAGATGGAAGTTTGAGGTTATGAGTAGATTATTGAAAGT